AAATGAAGGTCCCCCTTACAATGTTATCTCAGGAGATTCATCGAAACCAAGTTTCTCTTCGTATCTACAAGCCTAAAATCATCAAAGAAATTAGTCTTATATGACGTAAATTGCTGAAAATAATTTCCATTTCAAAATAGATGAGCTTTTCTCGAATGTTAACGTTTTGCAAATAAGCACTGTGACATATAAAAATTATATTTGGAGCTAGCTCCATCAATGAAAACCCTTATGGCTCAGAAGTCAGTCTTTTCAACTTTATTGTACCTCTACTTGGTATAGCCTAAATCATCGCAAACCTTTACATTGACCATTCAATAAGTCTCTTGGGGCTTCCTTTAGAAAATGCATAAATGATCATAATTTTACTGTTTTTATCATAACAAATGTGTTGGAGTTCTGGTCTCTGAGCAGAACCTTACCAGTTAAGGAAGCATATGGTGAGGGCATTACGATACAAGAGAGTGACAGTCATATTTCACTTAATCCTAATCAAATAGAGTATTTTAGAATAAGATATTAGAAATTATGCATGAGTCTAGTAGCCATATAATTTGAAAGAGCATATTGGAAGCCAATGTTTTTCAGTTAATAATCTATTTATCATTAGGTAAGGTTCTCATTCATCCTGACCACAATCGTTTAATTGTGATAGATTGTGCTAATCTTTGGATATATTTCCATCTCATACTGCAATTTTAGGAATATGTTCTGAGATTGGCTATGAAAGAACTCGAGCTTTTAGTCTGTATTATGCTAAATCAACGTGTTCACAGGGGTTATGAGAATATGCAATCTCTCAAGCAGATAGGAGATACATAAGAGTCAATTCCAGTCGTTAGGTTGATGAGCCGACCAACGTTTAATAAATCATTCCTATCGAATAGCAAAAGAACGGACAATTAAGGGTTATCATCTTAATTCTAAAGTGCTTTGATTAGCATGCAATAGAATCTGTCTAAATTCTTTTATTTTTATCAGTTTCACTTTGGCAAACTATTTGTCTTACCTACATCTCTCATGAAATATACAATACCCAATTCAAATGATTGGGTAACGCATAATTATTAAGGCTTCGGTTCCAACGAGTTTAATTAAAGTCATTTATAGTCGAAGACGGTTATAAGGCTATTTAGCAGGTCAATGGCTCCATTCAGGGGACTGAAAAGCAAACAAATGAAGATGGAATGCTTGTGTACATCTCAATTAGCTTGGATAGTCGGTTGGAACAGATTCGCACATTCGTTTCATCGAAAACCAAAGGAGGATTGCTGAGCTATGACGATTGAATTGTGTGGGGAAGACCTCGGCACATCGTCATACACCCTCGACTAATCATTGCTGCTCTTGTCTGTCCTTTGGCAGACAATGCCAGCACCACAAACGATCATCTACGATAACTAACTAAAATTCTATACCAAGAAAGGTATTAATAGACTCCTAGAAACCCAGATCTTCTTTAATTTATATTTTTATGAATTGTTCTATTGAAAAAATATGTATTGCTTTTATGGAGAGAAATGTCCAGTAAATCCAAGTCATATTTGTATGATAAAGCGTTTTACTAGTCGTTGTACATTTGACGCTTGACGGGCACAAGAATGTGGCTTAAACGAAGCGCAAATGGTGAGGCTGTCCGTCGCAATACTTTTTTTTTACTTTAGGCCTCACTATATTGGGTAAATGAAAGCAAAAAGATAAAGCTGGTTCTATAATCGTAGGCTAAAGTTGGTTTGCATGACAGATTAAAGTAGTCTCTTATCCACAAAATGGCTGCGGCAAGTGCTTACTTATTTCCAGACATTCAGGCAGTGCTGAAGGTTTTTCTACAAACGAGGAAATAGAACATCTTCCGATTTGCTACTACCTCTAATTAGCCGTCGTCCCCGACAAATGCAGTCATCCAAGCAGAACAATATTTCAAACATGATGGAAATGGTCAGCCAATAACCTTAACTCGAATTACGATTCTGTCGAATATACCTATAACAGACGATGTAACAACTTTCCCCTATTTTTGATGAAGAATACAAAAAAATTTAATTGTTATGGGCTCTCAAAGGAGACTATACTCAACAAAAACCTTCTTCGTGCTCAAACCGTACAGGATCTTACCGAGGTTGTACTGGTAAGCAACTTTATTTGGAAGAAACGTATGCGGAGTCTCTGCTTGGGAAGTTTGACGCAAACTTTCCAGAAAGGACATTAAAAATTGATTCGTCTACCTGCTGTATGGTGAGGCCTTAATCCTTGAAACACTGGCCTTGTCACAATATTCTTCGGATAGCATATTTAAAAGAACTATGAGCGATATATAATCCTTTCGGGCTCCATCTTCAAACACACCCAAAAGAGCACAATTAACTTGTACTGCAGAGAAAATGCAGAATAATAAAAATCTATATTGTAATAGCTGTTATGCCCACTAAACTATGGAGATGATAACTACCAATACTGGCTGGTGATAAATGCACCAAGGCAAGGCTTCGCTAGAATTTGGCGCAAACTTTTAGAACATTATTCTAAAATAACAGTCAAGAACATGGTTGAAATACTATATCAATCAATCTATTGTCAATGTGAATTATGCTGACTGGATTACACATTAAAAAGACTTTGTGCCTTGTTTACTGCTAATACCAAGTGAAGAATTATAAATTGTATAAATTTAAGCTATTTTTTTCTGATAAATCTAGTTGCAAATTGATTTTCAATGTCTTAGCAACAGCCCTTTTGGACATTCAAAAAATATAGAGAGCTAGCTCCCTGCAGTTTCCGGTGAGACTAATTCACGACTTCTATTGCTCCAACTTGAAAAAAATAATTAAATGTCCATTTATAGCAAATGAATAGGAGAATCTTCGAAATCCATAGTTTCATTATTTATATGAAAATAAATATCAGAACGCGCTAAATATAGGCGAGAAAATGAAATTTTGAGCAAAAATTTGTGCTAGAACTTGCTAATGCTTTACCTGCATTGAATTGTCTGGGAGAAACCTCGAATTTTCAGAAAATTTCTAAATGCATTTCGACATACTATGTTTTAAGCTTGCAATTTAACTCATCTGAGCCTTCAGGGCTATAAGCCTATTGGTCAGCATACCTTGCAAGATTCCATTTCTTGTGATCATGATTGCTTTCCATCGCTATCTTGGCAGGGTACATCTGATATTTTTTTAGTGTCCCTCTACTAACCCTTATTATTTGGATAAATTTATTTTAATGTCAGCAATATAATCTTTTTCTATGCACACATTTATTACAATATTACTCGTTATATACTAAGATTAATTTTCCGATAAACTTTTGCCTGAGGTTAGAGTATATATTAACTAGCATTAATTTTATTTTATATTTCACTCCAGCACTAAATAGATTCTTTTAAAGTTGTTATTAAGCCTTAGCTCTAAGGCAAATTACTTAGCCTAGCACCATAACAATTCCAGAATGCTGTTGATAAAATCGAAGGAATTTCTCTACTTTCCGCTTAAGTTTAACCAACACTCATGTACATCCTTCAAAAGATTTTGCAGCATGAGGCCAGAAGTTTACAAGCGTGGTTATAAAATGAATCTGTTATTGGAGATTGCTCTTTTTACTTAATTTCCTTGACCGTTCTATATAAAAATCGCCTGATCATGTAAAATCTCTTATCAAAGTATGGTAACACTTTCATTTCTTATTAAGCGGCTTCATTAAAAGTTTGGGGATGATGATTTTAAGTCACATTTCCTCTTTATATTAGAGAATATTTTGTTTCTTTTGATGGTAAGAGGAGCCAAACCGCATCCTTTATAGGGTTTTCGCAATCATCTCTATCAAACACATTATCAAACAACCAGAGATTGAATTTGTGTTCAACCAGCTATAAGGCATATGAGAACCATTTTTGCTCGTGTACTTTTATCATATTCAAGCTTCTGAGTCACAACACAACAGGCCACGCTACCTCAATCTGTAGACGTCTTTGATAAGAACAATATCATACACAGGAAGCCAGTTATATTCAGCACCCGGTGCACTTGTGTAGTTGACATCGCACAATAAAAGTAAAATGCACTGAGAACTGTATAGGCATTATGTCCATATGCGTTTCTTCTACCTGATATTTTAGATCAAGGATTAAGCCAACGAACTTATTTGAAGTGTCGCGATTTTTTAAATGTTTACAAATAGCAAAAAAGAGCCTTCTTAACAAGTAGTAATTTATTCAAATTACATATTTTGGACATGCAGTGAAGGCTTATAAATTCGTCTACATGTCACTGTCTTATTGCCATCCATCCAGTCTTCAAAAATGGATTTTATAAAGGTTAAGAATCTAATTTAAAGGAATATATTACCTATTCATCACTCATAAAGTGCCTCTTTCGATAAAGCATTAAAATATTTCTTTTTCATAAGTGTAAGACTTTGTATGAACTAGTATGTTTTATCGTGTAAACAGCAGCAAAGTAAGATTGCATTTTCTGTCAAGATTACTTCGACTAAATTTTTCTATATAAACTAAAATATAGCATATACGTTCTTAGATTATCCCCAACCGACCAATGCATATTACGCTCCTTTGAATAGGCAAATTGTCAAACTTTATCAATAAACCTTGCATTTTCTACCATTTCTATGTCACTTGCACCTAATTGATGGATCTTTGGTGGAATATATCTGTAGGGTAACCCGAGAAGAGCACCAAGCAATTGAGCGTCTTTGTTTTCATTTTTTTCTTAAGCCAGAGTCCCAGTTCGAAGCATTAAGCATTGTAGGCGATTTTCATTTGAAGTTTACTCTACAGTTTCATAACTAATGATGAGTTCTCTCCGACTGGAAATTCAGGATGGCAGCACCTCAGGTAAGGTTGTCTTGGGGTGGCCAAGAATCTGCATTAGAATGGTGGCATAAGTTTGAGTGTTTACTAGAGTAGTATTTATAAATGATCTACCAGGGCTTGGCACTGCTACAGGCCTGATGACAAGTTTCCATAATCCTCTCCTCTACACAGATTCAGTTGAATTTATGTGGTCTGAGTATCTTTTGGAAGTCAGATCGTATGTCCTTTTAGTGAAGACGCCCAAAATCTATACCAATATGTCGAAAAAATATTCTTAAAATCTTTGTCTGGTGCACTTATTGGCCAGCCTAATTCTAGCCAATGGAGAGCTTGTCCCATTGCAAGACAAAAGAAATAGATCTCTATTCCTGCTATTTTGGAAACACACGAGATTACCACAAATGTCAAACGATTGATATTTCTCTCTTCTTCATGTAAATCTGAGAAGCTAAGCTATACTCTTAACCGTAGACACGAATTTTTTCACCGAATTCAAAGTTTATGGATCTTAATGCCCGAAGATGACCTATCACACCCTTACATCTCTACACAACAATACTTACACAGAATATTGTGGAAATTGTGTCTCCAGGCCACTAGAGCTCCAACATAAGCTCGGTGAGTCCCTTGATATAGTCAATTGACTCCCTCTTCCAGTGCACATCAGATATGAAGTGTTTCTTGATGTTATAAGTCTGTAAATATTAATTTTTGCAGATTGTGCGCTTTGTTTACGATCGGTTTCATTTATATAGTCTTAAAGTGTATCATTAAAAAAGAGACATTTAAAATGCAGACTATTAGAGCAGTATGATAATCGCATACTTTCTTATTAGTTGGGTTACTTTTAAAAATTCACTTATTTGCGTTTTTGCCCATTGGTTTTTGGGCTATCGAGATTTATTTTCAGCTGTTGATAACTTAGACGGTGATACTAATTTAACGTGGTATCTAATATTTTCCCATCATTGTCAACATAACTTTGCAGGCTGAATGTCTTAGCATAGTTAACCAAAATTGATCGATTATTGTACATTTCCATGTCGGACATGTAGTGAACCTTTACTAAGACGTTTTAAGTTCTAGGTTGCCAGGACGGCTAGAAGACGAATAGCGACGAATTGCAAAGTGCAGCCTTCCATTTCTATCCATAATTAACAGTAATATTAGGCTTAGGAGACTGGCTATAATCTAACCATAATTAAATTGCCAATGCTGAAGCCAAATTTTTCTCATGTGAACCCTTTAATTTTAATCTTACAGAATGTGCTCTCACTGACGCGACAAGTGGCTCATCTACAAGAGCAGCTTTCAGAACGAGAGGAGGAGCTGGGTGACTTGAAAGCAGAGCGAAACAACACGAGGGTATGTCTTTTAGCCACGATAAAGGTGCAGAACCACAAGAATTCTGCCATTCATCAAAGGCATTACTAGTATCAATACAATTTACAACATAATTGGCAATTATACTTTTTATATACGAAGAGGAACTTGATTTATATGAATCTCCTGAGATAACATTATTAGGGGGACCTTCGTTTCAAATAAAAGTGCATGAACAAGAGATTCGTTGGTCGATCTCACCAGATGAGGACAGATGAAATTCGTTGTACTGCAGCCATTTGGCTTTTATACGATATTCACATTGATGCAGTCCACAAGACTTCCTCCCTCGTTTCGGGTGAAAACGTGCTGAGCTTTCGTCCATCATATGATGGGTATCATCAGAGCTGGGTGTCATTTTTGTAAAAGTCTAATTTTAGCACTAAATCAAGAACACGATTCGGCTCTATCTTACTTCTTATATAGACTCAATCAAGTCAGAAAATTTTTAATTTTTAATTTTTTGACTCGATTGAGCATATATAAGAAGTAAGATAGAGCCGCATAGTATTCTTGCAAGAATGAAACGAAACGAAGGTCCCTCTAGCAAATTATACTTTGACCAATAACGATAACTTTGAGAAAGTTACTAATCTGTGTATTTATTAATTCATATAGAAC